ACATCTATTAAAGATATTGATGATTGAAATAGATATAAAGTTATTGATGTCAAAACATGCTTAAACTCATCAGAATCAATACAATACCTCCAAAATTTAGTACCAAAAATAGCTCGGGTTACATGTTTTTCTGCTTAGCTTGCATTATAATATAACTGGAGTAAAGTTTTTGGTTTCAATTCTCTGGTTTTATTTTCTCTATCATTATCATCAATTGGTTCATGATGCATAGACAGTTCTTTTATTAAACCTTGCACTTTTTCAGATTCTATGGATTTCATTTTACTTTGGGGGATAGCTCTACCGTCATCTACAGATAATTTTCTTACCTCACCTGTTAGATTAGAGATTTCTTCACTTTCACCTTCCACTGCCTCTGTCATATCTACATCCTGAACTTTAGCTGATGCCGGTCCTTCATTATCTATGAAACAAATGGGGCAAGTTTTTTTGCTTATCTCTATTACTTTTTTCAAGGCAGTCATGATGGAGAGTATAACTATACACTAATATAGTAAATGCTTTGGGCAGATTTAAAAAAATTTTTTCGTTACATTCATGACAATTCTCTAGCTCTGGCATTGTAATATCGTTTGCAAGAGAATTTGGATAACTTTTTAGGATATTTATTCCTAAAGATTTTAATAACTCTGATCGTTTGGGTATTTTTTAGCAAGTTCTCTTTTGTTAAGTGGTTCAAGACTCATAGTATAGAATATGCTGAGCTAGTTTACGAAAAAAAAAATTTTCTTATCATTTTACTCTTATCTGACTATATACTATTTTCACATTGTCCGTGATTATTTGCTAGATAAGAGCAAACAGATATAATATCCAAATCAGTACAATTATCCAAATTTTAGTCAGATAAGTATTTGTAATTTATTATTAATTTATCCCGTTATATAATATACTTCTCGTTATTAACAAACCAAATTTAGATACTATGAAAACTAATTTTGGATTTGGTGATCTGTTTATTCACAAATTAATTAGTATGAGAGGATCGTTAGATCTTTGATGGCAATTGTGAAGAAAAGGGGGCATACACTTCATAGATTTTTATTTCACATCGACACTTTTCTACCTGTATTAAAAATCTTCCGAATTATCTTGAATTTTCAAGTTTATTAGCATTTTGACAAAACCGATCTTGAGCATGTTTCATTAATGGTCTACCTGGTTGATAAAGCCATTTCTTCACTTCTCGCTGGATTATTATAGCTGAATTTATTCATTTTTTCCATAAACAAT